TGATGGATGGATGATGGATGGATGATGGATGGATGGATGATGGATGGATGGATGGATGGATTTGTAGGCAGAGCTCCAAACAGATCAGTTTCCATCCATCAGTAGAAGCAGACTGGAGTCTCCTCCCACCGCTCAGTCGCAGGATGATGATGTCACAGTTACCTTTGAAGTTGGGTCGGATCCGAGCATCGTAGCCAGAYGTCCTGCCCATCAGCTTGTCCAGAAAATCAGATGGAGACATGGGAGGGTGGCGTGTCCTCGCAGGACTGTCCATTTCCTTACAGAGACTCAGACTGATAGAGACACACAAACAGTTGGATTATTACTAGATTATAATCTGATACATCATGAGCAACAGGATGTAAACACTGGTGCTGGTTCTGACAGAAAGAGAACCCAGTCTTTTGGTTCTGTTTGTCTCTGAACACKGGTCACGGTTCTCCTGGTTTCAGGACAGATGACCTTGTCTTTGACCTCTGGAAGCAGCTCTTCTTTTCTTCACCTGACAGGATTAAACAGTGAACAGTCTGCAGATGTGCTGCTCACCAGTTTAATCCCATCTTTATCCTGCTCTGGACCTGGACCTGGACCTGGACCTGGACCTGGACCTGCTCTGAACCCGGAGCCACGCTAGCAGATCATCTGTCTGAGCCAGACGAGCAGCAGCTGCAGGACTTTCACTGATTCAGAGAACAGCTGAAGTTCATGATGATGTCAGACTGAAGAGTCAATAATCTGCTGCACACAAACAAGCAGATTTACTGCTTCACTGCAAACTTTAGACATTTAAAGATTTATTTCAAATTAATAGATTATAGTCTGAATTTTCTTTATTAGGTGCAAAAATCTCCCGGTGTGTGGACTGAATCTGACAAATAACAGCAGAAATATAGAAATGGACAAATAAATAAATAAATAAATAAAGTTAAAATGCACCAATTAAATTGGTAATGGTAAYGGTAATGGTAATTGGGGATGGGTACAACCCAGGTGAGCGGGGGCCTCATAAGTGGGCCCATTGCTCTCCCCAAAAG